TCTTACGCCCAGCAGCTTCCAGTGCAACGGCATGCCCGCCTCGGAGCAAAAACACAAAGCAGGCTGAGGGGAGCAAGCCCTGATTCCCCCCAACCATAAGGGGGAGGGGGGTGGATTTGCGGTCCCCAATTCCACTTATCCAGTCTCCCACCATAAATAAAATTCCAGAGGTCACCCCCCTCCCCCAATTCCATATTTAACGGGGTGGGGATACGCGAACTAAGGGTTTGGCGATTTGACGCGCGTGCGAGCGTCGTCTGGCAAGGCGGGCACATGTGCTGCGCCTTTTTTTTTGTTGGGTGGGGGGGGGGGGTGGGGGGTTGACAAAGTGACCTTGATTCTTGTCGGGTGTTTGTTGTTGAGTTCTTGATGCCCGGCACTGTAAAATAGGGGCTAAAGCGGGTGGGTGAGTTGATAGCATAGTGACCTTGCACCTTCTCTTTTGTTGGGGAGCTAGTGTCCAATGACACTAGGGCTCCCAAAGGACGCGCGCAAGGCCCCATGTGGAGACATGGGAACGCGGCAGAATGACTTGCTGCTCCTCTCTAGTGGGGGCCCTGCTTTTGGCAATGATCTGCGGGCGGTGGGCCGTGGGTTTACCATCCGAAACGCAAGGCCCCAACAGCCGACAACTGTTGAAGCCAAACAGATCTCCACATCTCAGCAAGGTCGAATACCCGAACAATTCACATGGAACCCTGCATATTCCTGAATGAAGCTGCTTAAACACTCCCATTTTTCAGTTGCCCAAAAAGGACCCAGGCATAAAAGGTTAACCTGTTGGGGCCATGCACAAAAGTCGACCAAAAGGAAAAAATGTTAAAAGGCCTTTTGCGAGGGGGGGGATACACATGTTTTTGGGGGGAAAGCCTTGCCCCAAACGAATCCCCACAAGCCCATCCCTCCCGACATCTGCTTCGCAGGCACAACACGGAGCTTGCAGAGATCCTGAGCTCAAGGTGCTGGCGGCTTGTTTTGCTTAGCGGTTCAGTTCCACTTCGCTGGCCAATCTGCGGAAAAAAAAAAAAAACAAAGAGTGCCCACAGAAAAAGTCAAGCCTATGCTGAACTCTGAAGTGGCCCGGATCATTGTGAAACCTGCACTGCACTTGATACCCAAGCGGAGGTCCCCGCATCAGGGTGCCCACTTCGGGTTGGTGTCAATTGGGAACCAAAAGGACGGTCATCATTTGTTCATCTGGCTATGGGTCAAAATTAAACCGCCAAGGGACCGCAGATTTTGGTCGATGTGTCCATTTACCAGGGTAACCCGGTTTAGGTACCTGCTTTTGACCCACAGCCATCTAAGGGTGCCCACTTCGGGTTGGTGGCAATAGGGAACTAAAAGGACTGTCATCGTTTGTTGGCTCCCCCGATTTTGAGACATACCCGTCTTGCCAGCAGGCAGGTGCAGTTGAAATTGCTGCAAGGAGGCGAATATTAAGAGCAAACACCGTGAATTGAATCACCTTCAAACCCAAAAATGCCAAGTTGCGCGACAACCATGTTTGTTCACTGAAATTGAGAAACATAAGTCCGATTCTGCTCGTGAGGGATGCATGGCGTGAACAAAATAATCTAAGGCCACCCACCATCCTTGCTCCGAAGGACCACGTTTTGAATTTGCCCACTTCACGGCTTGCACCCCCCCCCCCAAAAAAAAAAAAAAAGGAAAAAAAAGGCCCCGGCCCTATAAAACACGTGTGTGAACATTGATCCCATGATCCCTTGGGCGGCCCCGGCCAAGAAACGAACCCGTGGGTTCCCCAGTCGGCTTTGTTTTCTCAATAGACCCCAGGCCTCAAGTTAAGTGGGTGGTTCTTCACGCGGGTTGCAACCTACTCATTTGCGTACAAGTGGAGCCGGCCTGGTAGGATACAACCTAGTTGATTAACCACTTACTAACTTGGAAAATCGAACACCCAAGTAGTTTCCAGTCACATGCCATCCGCTCGGGGTAGGAGCAACCGAAAAAGCCGACCAAGCCCACCGCTACCTTCCACGTTGCCATGGAACCGCTCATTCCCCCGAAGCTACATCACTGAGTGTTTCCCCCCACCTACGATTGAATCTTGTCCATACACAGCGAAGCTTGAAACGGGGATGTGCCAAAATCGGGGTTGCCCCCCCGCCCCGATTGAATACAAAAATACATATATATATATATATTTAAAAAAAGAGCTCCCACTTGGTTTCCCTTTCAGCACAGCTGAAAAAGACCCTTTTCAATGCAAGCCACACGCAACTGTGCAGTGTTTTTTACAAAGATGTGCCAAAATCGGGGTATCCCCCCCAAAAAAACCCAAAAACAAAAACAAAAACTAAAATGGGTATCCCCCAAAAAAAGAGCGCCTAAAAGGAAGAGATTTATTTGTCCCACTTGGTCTCCCCTCAGCCCCAGCAGCCCAGCCCAGCTGGCACCATCCCCACCATCTGCTTCCACCCAGGTATGCCTCCATTTGCTGACAAGCCCCTTGGAAAAAATGACAAAAATATGTCCAGTAGTGATAGATTTCCTTTAAAACCAACAAGGGGGAAATACAAAAAGAGACTTAAGCAAATGGAAGTATGCAGAAGTGAGGGATTTCTACCTTTCGCGGAGCTGCCACCTCGGACCAGCCGTGGATGGCCTTGGCATGCTCCTGACACATGGCTTGACTCGCCGGTTCCGGAGAGGTGGCGGTTTTGCTTGGGGACCCATCCCGCCAACGCGAAATCGGAAGACGCGAGCTTTCACTACCCAATGCGCGTAGCATGGGTTCCATGGGCTGTGAAATTCACCTTCTACCCAATTTGGGGCTACTCTGGGTCACCAGCTCACATTCGACCCATTTCCGCAGCCCGCCACTCCACAGACTTCGGTCTACCAAAGTCAGGTGGTTCGCCTAAGCCCGCCCAACCAAGAACATATGATCGAGCATGGTCCGTCTTTAGCAAGCCTTAAACATGTAAAGCAATGTCAAAACAGATCCCTTACCCGCCTCCAAAAGTCACATTTGACATATGACAAAGAAAACGGGCTTGGATGTGATTGTTTCGCGGATTTCACCTGTTCTTTCCCCTGTTGGCTTTCTTTCTCAGCACTCTGATCGTCCTCTTTTCATATCCAACGAGTTGTGGATCCACAGATTCGGAGTAGTAGGGACTCTTGTTGCCTATGGCTCCCCTATGGCTCGCCCCCCTTGCAACCCAAACAAAAAACCTCAAAACCCCGGGAAAAATAGATGGATGTCCCTGCCACATGGAATTAACTAACCCAACTATCTTAAATCCAAGCTAACCACACTAACCTAACCTATATAACCTAAAAACCAGTGGAACCCATCGATTTTGCGCCAAACTCCAAAGGACACCGATTCCCGCGACCACAGCTCTCTCTCCACTCCTTCTCCGCCCAATCTGGAACCTCATAGTCCAGCCAGCTCTCAGCCTCGGTTTGGGGGGGGGAAGTATGGAGTGGGGAATGGGGGGGCGGGGGGGGAGGGGATATGCACGACGCATCCCAAACATGAACGGCGCATCACTGGCATATGAATGACAAAAAATAACATACGTATGAGACATATGAATGACATATGAATGACATATGAATGACAATTCAATGATATGAATGGCATACGAATGACACGTGAATGGCATATGAATGAGACCTCAATGATGTGAATGACACATGAACGACACGTGAGCGCTCACGTGATTGACATATCAATGATATGAGTCACACACATGAACAACATATGAAGGACGTCAGGGATATAAGTGACACATGAACGACAGATGAATGACATGTTAATGACATATCAATGATGTGAAGAATGCCATATAAACAACATATGAACGGCACATAAATGGCATAATGATATGAATGACACATGAACGACTTCTGAACGAAGTATCGATGATATGAGTGACACATAAACGACATATGAACGAAGTATCGATGATATGAGTGACACATGAACGACATATGAAGAATATAGGCATGCCATACCAATGATTTGACACACATATGAGTGACACATAAACGACATATCAATGATATGTGTGACATGTGAACGACCTGTGACTGATATGAATAACATATGAACGACGCATGAATGACATACAAATGACATAAGAATTACATATACATGACAATGCAACTCTGCCGGCCAAAACGTATGTGTTGCCCGCGACCGCCCGGAAGCGGGTCCCCGAGACCTCCAAAAAGCTTGGCAGGCCGCGGCAGAAACGCACTTCCGAGTCCCCCGGGCCCCACCCCACCTCCATGCTCCATACCCCCCTTCATGGAGCGCGGCGACTTTTCCTGGTTGAGTGCTATCATCAACACAACCCTCAACCTAAGCCAGACAAGCCAGCCTCGGATGCGCCGGACAGCCAGCTCCAAGCAAACCTAAACCCAAAAAACCCGAAACCTAAACCCTAAAATCCCTAAACCTAAGCCCTAAAATTCATGGAAACCCTGAAATCCTAAACTAAACCCTAAAAACCTTAAACCTTAAAAACCTTAAACCTAAACCTTAAAAAGCCTAAACCCAAACCCTAAGAACCCTAAACCTGCCAGCACGATCATACAGCATAAAAAAGACCTTGTGGGCGACATGTATGTTTTGTGGGAATTATGCAACTGACTCATAAATGACGCATGCATGACAGCTGACTGACATATGAACGACATACAGATGGCATATCAATGACAGTGATATGAATGACACAGGGATGTCATTTGAACGGCACATAAATGACCATGACGCATAACTGACCCAGAATGTCATATGAATGGCACATAAATGACCATGACGCATAGTTAAATGACACAGAATGTCATATGAATGGCACATAAATCACCATGACTGACGCATAAATGACACAGAATGTCATATGAATGGCACATAAATGGCCATGAATGACGCATGAATGACACCTGCATGACACATGAATGACATATGCATGACAGAATGGTGCCTTTTTAATCAGGGGCCCTTGGTGAATTGCATTGGGGCGGATGTTTCCCCTTGAGTGCTGAGAGAGTGCGAGGATGCGAGGGCACAGTTGGGGGCCGCATCCCAACAACTCAGCAAGAATCATTGATTGAATACCTCTAAGCATGCATATAGATATATGATATGAGTGTGTATATATATATACATGTATATATATAGTATATATACACAGTAGGACATGGGGCTCCATATCCACCAGCCATTCCGGAGGGGGCTCCCTATTCAAGAATCACAAGCCACGAAATGGTAAGAATGGCTTTGTCTCCAATTCAGGAGCCCCCCAAAAGAGGTGGCTTTCCTTTGAGCGTCCCTTTAAAGCAAAATTCTAAAATGGGTACCCCTCAGAAAGACACCCACCTGGCGCTATGGGTCAAAACCCCGGTGGTTCTGTGAACACCGAGAAAGCCTTCTAAAAAGACAACAGTGGACGTGGGAACCGCATCCACAAAACAGGAACCTTAAGGTTTGGACCCACAACCACATGGTGACATGGTGAAGACCCGGGCGACCTACGATGATCCAAGCTGAAGTGAAAGGAAACCTCATGCGTGCTGGAAAAAAAAGCACCGAAGACATAGCCATGGGTCAAATTCCAAATCGGTTAGCCCCCAGTGAACATCCAAATCCAACCAATAAAATAGGTTCTAAAAATAGGTGGTGCACCTACCAACCAAAATGGTACCATTGGTTTTGACCCACAGCCGCATGGGACCCGGTCCAGTCCCGAAGTCCCTTCCCAAGGCTGGGCAAGTGGATTCCAAGTCGCCTTGTTCGGGATGTCCCAGAAGATCCTGAGGTTCCGCTCGACTTCGCTGATCTTCGTGCGATCAACGGCCCATGTGTTTACAGACCAATGGCGGGGGTCGGCAAACAGTAAGTGAGTCAAAAAGCAGGTCTCCGTCCGCTTTCCGGGCAAAGGCAACCCAAATGCTGCAGATTGAGAACTTGCTGCGGGAAATTGCCGCTCTGGCAATGAGCGAGGGGCACCCCGGCACCATGTTGATATCTAGGCCAAGGCACCCAGAATGCCTGCCAACATCCTGCAAGCAACTTCGCTTGCCTGTATCTCTTGCGGCTGGACACGTTTGGAGAAAAGATCCCGAATCATAGACTGACATACCTACCAAGCAGCCTCAACATGTCCAAGCCCAGGCGACACAGCCAGGCAGCGCTGTGTTGCAGCCAAGACTCCGCAAAATGTTGACACCTGCGGCAACGGACGGGTGAGTGTTTCAACAGATTCATGGTCCAGTCTGCGAGGGAAGGTCTCCTCATTCTTGGGGGTACTTTTTGTTTTTATGGGGTGGATTTAAAGGGAAACCAAAAGGAAAACCACAAATTTTGGGGTCCCCCGCATTTTGAGGCACACACACGCACGGATTTCTGCCAAGTCCGGGCTGAGGCCACGCTGAGGCCGGGGCTCCCCATCAAGTCCCCCAGCAGCGTGGCGGTGAAAAGGGCGCAGCAAAGCCACCTACACCAATAGCTCTCGAGGCCGTACCTTGGGAAGCGCCGAGCGCTTTGATGGCAGCTTTCTAGCCCATTCTTTCCAGGGATCCGAATCTTTTCAGGAAACCATAAAAATACCCATGGGGAAACAGCCGGTTTTTTTTTAAGAACGATGGTTGAAAAGAATGGGGAATCAACCCCTAGAAGTTTGTTGGCATCCAAGTTTGGCAGGTCATCCAAGTTTCCCTTCCTGAGTGGGTGGCCCAAAAAGATCCTAAAGCATGTTTTTAGTCAGAAAATTCCAATTCCAAAATTCCCCCGAATAATCCGCCAAAAAAGTCCAACAATTCCCCACTGACTTGGTCTTCCCATTAGTCAGCTTGAAGTCCATCAGCTCGTGTGAGAAGTTGTGCGAAAAAATCCCCCCATTAATTTTCCTGGGACGCAACTCGTGTACAACTTCCCAACCCTTGGCAGGTGAAGACGCACACTAAACATGACCAGAACCAAAGGACTAAGGAAATAAACAAAAGATGCCAGTAACAGAGACAAGAAGGAAACCACTAACATCTGGAATGAGGACTAGTTTCGTTTCGATTTTGAACAACCGTGGTAACCCAGTTTATGTGCAAGGGCGCTGCGAAGCAGTTTGATCGAGAGGGCGGCTTTGGACCACTGAATGCAGCAAAGGATGAGATGATTGCTTGCAGGAAGGGCTCGACCCCCGCAACAAAAAAAATGCCGGTTTTCCTTTTGATGTCCCTTCAACCAACCAAAAAGGGGTACGCGAAAACCATGACACACCCATTCTAACCCAGCCCAACGGGGATCCTAAGGGTTGACCCATTTTGGGGGACTTGACCCCATGCTACGCGGTGCACATCGTGGATTTTCTATTCTAGGTTAAATGAAAAGCCATTTGCTTCGAAAAGGTGGCTCCGAGGGGCCATCCGGTCACACCAAAGACCAGCCAAGTTCAGAGGGGATAGCTACTAAGACTTGACCCACTTTAAGGGATCCATGTTTACGGCAATCCACCAAACCAACTGAAACTGATATCCACCATCCGGTCCCCCCACCCCCCCCCCCCCCCCAAAAAAAAAAAAAAAGAAAAAAGAAAAACAACTCATTTCCACCATCCGGTCCCCCCCAAACAAAACAAAAAAGCCGTCCGCTCCGCTCTCCGGCTCTCCGGCTCTCCGCGGAGCGAGCGGCTCGCCGGGGTCCACGAGCCCATGGATGTCGTCGGACCTCTCGGGGAAGAGCGCCAGCAGGGCGTCCCGCACCTTGCGACCCGCGACGAGACGCGTTGCGCGAAGGGCGGACAGGACGAGCTGAGGAACGGGTCCCAAGCAACGCGGCTCAAGCACTGTAAGGGAAATAAACGACAGATGCAAATAGAGATGTAAGAGTGAAATTATGAGAACAAGTAAAGACATGTAAATACATGCTCACTGTAAATCATGGGAGAGTCTCACAATGGGGAAAACTCCCAATTTTTTGGAGTTTCATTAGCCTTCTTATGCAACCTCAAAAAAGGGATACCCAGCCCCCAGCAAAACACACAGCGCACACACACACACACAGACACATTCTTGGAACAGCCCTTGTGTCTCCGCCCATTGGGATGAAAAGCGGCTTTGCTGCAGCCAGGTGCACATAAATCCGCGTGGACCACACGTTCCAGCTATAGACTCTGGAAGGTGTGTAGGTAGTCCCTCCTGGTCAGAGAGGATGCATGCGGCGAAGCATGCAGCGCGTGTCATTTTGGGGAAATAGACCTAGGTGGTCATCTCAAACCGAAAGGTTCCTAGGTTTTGAAGGAACGCCACCTACGCGATAGGCAGAAGGTGCGTAAAACCACCCGAAAAACCCTAGGCCCGGGACCCGAAATGCTCTCAGTGGACGGGTGGGGGAAGCCATATGGGCGGCTCGGATTGTTTTTGGGAATCGGAACCCCAAAGATGGCGCAAGGGGCTTCCTGTTGGTTTCCCTTCAATCCTGGCAAAAGGGCACCCCAAAAAAGACTCGCCTTTGGACACTTGTTTTTTCTTGGGGGGTGGGGGGGGGGGGAGGGGTGGTCCCTCTTGCTAACTCCACTCAAGCAGGGTGCTGCACAAAAGGACCCTCTGAAGCACTTGGGCTGGCCAAAGTGTCTCCTTCAAGTGCCCCCGCGCAAAGGTTCCCTTCACTGGCCCTCTGATTTTACCGTTGACAAAGTCACCAGTTTCTGATGTTGATAGCCCCCAGAAACACGCAAATGCCAGCTTCCCTCCTCTAATTGGTGGTTTGGCTTGGTGGTTTGGTGGTTAAGGAGGGGTTTCCCACAAAACCAGCAGTTCAAATCCTAGACCGCCCATCCAAATCACCAATTTGGAGGGAAGCTGAAAACGAGCCCAGTGTGTCCTGGACCCACGCAGTCCGGGCCGTTGGGACACTCCCCCGAATTCCCTGGGCGGACCGGAACCCGAATCCGGACGGGCGAGAAGGCGCCAGAAGGCGCCGGAGGGCCCTTGAGAGCTGGGGGGTAAAAGGGTGCTTCTTTTGCGGGTACCCGTAGGTTGGCGCATGACACATGCCCAAATAGAAGATACGATTTCGTTGTCGCCAAAGAATAAACAGATCTGTGCAACTGTGTATTCAGTTATCGTCTCACATCAAATTATACTGTTCAATTTTAAGGAGCCTGGCAATGACAATGACAATGCCCATCCCTTATTTGCCTCCTGGTGGGAAAGCCGGAAATTGTGCTGTTTGGCACCCGGCAAGTGAGCCAACGAACATTCAACCCACCAAATACTGACAAGTTGTCCGCTCTCATTGCTTGCGAACATTTCTTTGTTGTTCCAATGCAACTTGGAAGCCAGGAATCATGCACCCCTGGTTGAGTTGAGAGTCTTCACTGCCGGTGGCAATCCCAAGCTCTACTGCTGCCGCTTTGAACATACCCATGGATAACATCCAACCACTGTCGAGTGTTCAGTCTGATAAATTAAAACCCTGAGGCTTCGCCGCAAAAATGGAAGCAATCATGGAGCTTGCCGTCATCTCATGGAGCTTGCCGGCAAGCAAATTGCAAAGAGGATTGGGAACAGAGACTGCTGAATGAATAGAACCTAACTTATACCAGCGCCATCTAATGTCTTTCATTTGGATAAGTCCCCTGGAAAACATATTTCCAGTCGTGATACATTCCCTTTAAAGCCAACAGCGGAAAATGAGCTCACATTATTGGAAGATGTTCAGACTACTTGACCCGTAAAGGGCACCTTCGATCAAAAGCCTAACTCACGCAATAGCAAGCCACAGGCCCCCTCACTCTGTACGTTCCCTTTTCTCTTAAATGAAACAGGCTTAGTGACCAAACTGTCCAACCACAGGTGCCACCCAATCATGGCTCTCGTGCCGCTCGCCCAGGGTTCGATTTATTTGTAGACGGCCTGCACCGTTGACGAAGCATTCGTTGCTCTTCTGTGTTGGGGTGTCAAAAGCTATCCCCTTCCAGCTCCCATGCTCCGAAGCCATTTGCAAACAGGTGCTGCTGATATTCCGTGTGTTACACGGAGCTACACGCACCTTGCAACTAATCAGAAGATGCTCGCACGTCCACAGATCCAGCTCTCTTCAAGAGAAGCCAATCAATGGAGACTCTGTCCAAGAGCAACTATGATGAGAAAAGGAATGTCCCTCTGTCTCCATGATATAATTCCTGCACTTTATGACAGTCATGTGATGGGACAGCGTTGATGTCAAGTTTGGAGTTGGACGCGAGGAATCCACATGACCTGTGCACGTTCCAAAACTGTTGTAACATGCAGGGTTCAAATGCTAAGTGCTTTTCAAGGCGGAAACCCCGGCCATGTGAGGCTGTTTCGCGCAAGCCAGTGTTTAGATATTTTGAGACCCCCGGCCTCTGATAAATTCTCTCAAAAGGGCAGGGGGTGGGGGGTGCCAATTCGCTTCAGTCTCCAAAGCTCTTTCAGCTGAGGGGCGTCCGAAGTCGCAAAGGAACATCCTGGGCCAAATTGCCCAAATTCGCGACAAGGAAAAAAACCGAGCGGGTAACCGAAACCCACACCCACACAAACAGGTGCTTCTTCCTCTCTCTTTATTTTTGAGGGGGAGGGAGGAGGAGGAGGGGGGGGGGTGAATATTTTAAGTGGGGAAACACTTGGCACAAATCACAAATCTTCAACCCCCCAAACCAAAGAACTCTTCGACAAGGGCTCCAGAGCCACCAAAGAAAAAAGTGAAACAGTACGCATCTGAACTGGGCAATTCTACATGCCGAAGGGCCCCACTTTGACGGCATGCCATCCACAGGTGGATGGGAATCCACAGGTGGATGGGATGGAAGGGCGATTGGTTGGGCCGTATGTTCAATTATTGCAGGTTTCGCGAGGCCATGACTGGTTGCGAATTCACAAAAATAACGGCTTCATACCAGGGGTTCGTACCAGGTGTTTAAAAAAGGGATTGATACCAGGGGTTCATACCAGGGGCTTCTACCAGGATTCATATCAAGGGTGTATACCAGGGGCTTACACCCGGGTTCATACCAGGCGTTTCCAGGGGTTCATACCAGAGATTACCAGAGATTCATGTGAGCATATACCTTTTCCCTTCAATGCGCCTGCTCACCCGCAAGGCTAGCAAACTCCACAGGGTCGCATCCCAAAGGGCTGCGTCAACTGTTGAGCAACCTCTCGTTGGCATTTGATACGGCAAGGCTGGGGTTCTCAAAACAACGTGGAGCCCCTTTTGGTAGGTCAAGGGAAGCCAAAAGGAAACCAGCTGCTTTTGGGCAGCGCTATTTTGAGAGAGACCCTACGAAGGGGAAATGCTTTGCCGAACTTGGCCTAAGCTGGAACATGCAGCAGCGCATATCAGTTTCCAACCAGTTTGCACGGGGTGCTGTGAATAAGTGAGCAATCCTGACATCCCTCGGCCGTCCAAGCCAATCTCGTAGAAAGCCTAACGGGTCTGGAGGGAAACCAAAGGAAACAACATAGAAACAACTGGCCAAGAAAAGACTTCATGACTGGATTGACGCTAAACGAGCATTATCTCTTCAAGCGATAGATGCTCACTGAACACCCATTTTGTTGGTTGACCACCCCCCCCCCCAAAAAAAAAAAAAAAAACAAGGCCAAGGCCGAAAGCCTCGGACTCAACAGGCCAGGCGGCTGCCCGGCGAAGGCGTCCCAAATCAACTCCTCCTTCGCAATCCTGGCTCGATGGGCAAAATTCTAGGGGTTGATTCCCCATTCCTTTCAGCATCGTTCTTTTCCAAAAACCCGCTGTTTCCCCTGGGTTTTTGCTGGTTTTCTAGGAAGAAGGATCCCTGGAAAGAATGGGGAGGCAACCCTTAGAAAAATATATATCTTAGTCCAGCGTTTACCACCATGTTTTTTGTCCTCACCCAAAAAGAAGTCCAGACACCGGAGGAGTGAGGTGAACAGCCGGTGGTCCATTCTGCAGGCTTCGGTATTGGCTTTGGGCTCGCAAAAAAAACGGAACGAGTGTCCACGGCGCCGGGGAGTAGGCAGGGCTCGTCCTGTGTTCGAGTTGGTACCCCTTTCTTGGTGGTACTCAGGGGAAACCAAAAATGGAAAACCGAAGCCACGTTGGGGTCTCTGAGCCCAAAAGACACACCCAAGATCGCTCAAGATCTCAAGGAACTCCGCGCAATCTCCGCCGAGGGGCATATAAAGGACAAGCCCTTGGCAAAGGTAGTTTACCTGGGGTCGCACGCGGCAAGCGCCGCTTGCGCACACAGCCGGAGAAAAAGCGAACGGAACCGCAGCTGGCCGCAAAGACCGTGTCTCCGTGCCAAGGAGCTATCAAGAATATATAGCTGCGAATGCAGAGGATCACGATATTCTTCGGGTATCCGGCTGATCCTGGGCACAGCAACGCCCGCCACACACACCTGCACAGCTCCAGAGGGGCGAAAAGGCCCTCAAAACAAGCTCAAACCGCAAAACGCTTGGCCATGTTGCAGTGAACACGCCAAGTGATGGCATCGACCAATCCCGTTAGCGAAAATAATCTATGTGAATCAAGGCAGAACAATTCGGGAACCTGCCCCGCATACCACACCTTTAGGTCACGCAAAGGTTGGCACCTGCAGTTAAAAAGGTGTGCATGCACTGATATGAATGTATGATTGTGTATGGTTGCATGCCTGTATGCCTATATGTATCTGTCTGCGCCTGTGTGTGCCTGTGTCTGCCTGTCAATGTGTTTTTTTTGTGTTTTGTATGCTGGTCACCCACGTTCGCATGCAACCCAGAGCCAGCACACCCTCACAAGACACGAAAGTGCACACCCCCATTGTGCAAGACGGGCTTCCTGTTGGACAGGGAGCCGGTGCCATTACAATCCAATAGCATGCTTGTGGATTTTCTGGTCTCTTTGGTTTGCTTGCTTGCTTCTCTCTTTGGCGGCTCCCCTTTTTCAGCTTAAGCTTGACGTTGGAAGGGGAGCAAAAAATCAAATTTTAGAAATTCAGTGGGGATGTCCGCAATAAGCAAAAATGCCACATGCTTCCCAACAACTATGATAACCATGTAAGGGGGGGGGCGCCCTCGCCAGCGACGGACCCATGGGCTTTTGCTTTGGGTTTTCCGGGCTCTCCGGGTTTTCCCCGGGGCCCCGGCGAGCCAGCTGCGGCAGCAGCAGGGCGGCGCCGTAGAGGCTCTTGTCCAGCCTGGCGCGAGCTGCTGCCGAGCTGCGGTTTGAAGGGATGACCGGCGATCGGGTCGTTGGGGCGCCCTTTAAGCCCCCCCCCCCAAAAAAAAAGGGAAACCAGGCCTTCACACAGAGTTGGGCTTGTCGCAACATAGGGTAGCCCCAAAAAATGGAGTGGCGGCGAGGTGGTATGACAGGCGATACACGGAAAGACCCCCTTCTTCCATTTTTGGCACCCCCTTAGACACATGCCCATTTGAAGTTGTCCCAAAGTATAGGGGTAGCCCAAAAAATGGGTCGTTTTGACTTTGGTGTCCCTTCAAGCCCCACCAAAAACTGTTCTTGTAGTGGATGGATGGGAGATCAGGCCTGAACCACCACACCGATTCAGCGTAGACCCCTGTAACTTGCTGATCCGATAGGTAGGGAATGAGAAATGGAACGATCCCAAGAAGAACCATCCCTGGTGGTTTCCTTTATGGGGACCCCTGGGTTCATTCCCTCCTTCCCTACTGAGCACCAGCAAGTTAAACCCGCCCTATTCATTGCGGGGTCGTTCTAGGCTCCAAAAGTAAGACTCCTTCCAATTCGTCGCCGTCGGTCATCGGATCACACTTGCATTCGGGGTCCTTACCGTCCTAGCCTCTGCCCAGTTCGGACGTGAGCCTTTGGAGCGAAACACAAATCTTATGTGGACCAAATCAGGGCAACCGAAAGGTCAAAAGGTTGACTCGTTTTGCGCAAATGAGTATTATAGGGGGTGGGGCTGCAATAGTGATACATCCCCGAAACAAAGGCACCCCGTCGCAAACTGGGGCTAGAATAATTCCGGGTTCGCGTTCCGCCATTTTTTTTTGGTACAGTTACATTTCCCTGGAGAAATAAACTTGCAATATCTCGGGGTATTTACCCTCCCACCAACCAACATGGAACCTGGCAGGGGGTTCCTTTAAAAGGACAACTGTCTTCCCGGAACCCTCTGTCAGGTTCCATTTAATTGGTGGGAGGGTATACCAACGGCACGTGGTTGGGCTATGCCTATGCCTTTCCTCCCGAACACGTGCCGCCACCCGCGTTTCCCCGCCTGATTTTGTGCGACTCCTCGGCGCGATTTCGCAGATTGGCATGCGAAAGACGGTCGAAAGCATGACACCGCGTGGCCCTTGGTGTCCTGTTGGAACAATAGATGGGACAGGTAAACAACTGGAGCCAAACCCAAATCAGTGCAATCTTTTTACACCCCATCTACTTCAAACTAAACGCCTACGTTCTTAGTCCGATCTTGAAGTCGGTACATGTTGGTCCTTTCATAAGTTATGACCGCCTGAGCCATGGACGCTCCAATCACAGTCCCGAATTCAACCTGTTTGAGAGCGGGCGCCCATCAGTGACGAAAGCTCATGGAGGAAAGAGCACTCTTTCACCTATTGGCCGACCAGGGGGTCAATCAAAATGCCTGGGTGAATTATAATATTTCACCAACCTGAAACTTGCGGTGGTGGGGCAATTCCCTACATCGGTCGTCAATTCGGTGGATATAATTCAGCCAGAAACTTGGTTGCTGTTGACCCCCCTGCAAAAAAATGAACTTGTTTGGGGTTTAGTGGGAAACCCAACTTGATTTCAACCAAAAAGTTAAAGTCTAAAGATCCAACCCAATAGCAGTCAAGGAAAATGCCTCTTGGTCTTTTGTGAGGCGCCCTTCCATCCAGAAGTACCTGATCTGCGAACTAAATTTCCACCAAGGCTCGTTGACGTTCAGCGTGCCTTGGAACAGGAAAGCTGGAGCAACGCTGGGACAGGGCAAGACAGAATGGAAGAGAAAAGGAAGAGAGAGAGAGAGAGAGAGAGAGAAACAAAAACAAACAACAAAACCCGGTGGCTTTCTGCTTTCCTGCAGAAAGTGACTAACTTTTAGTGAGTTAAGACGGAAGACCCATTAATTAGTTGGCAAAAAGTTAAAGTCCTAACATCCAAGCAAAATGCACCAAAGAAAACTGGTGGCATCCACAACTGTAACCCTCGGAACCCGTTTGGAACCCGTTTGGAACTCGAGCCGCTCCACCCGGAACCCTATCCAGGCACCATGGAACTGCTCGGAACCATTCGAGATCCCTACGAGGTGCATCCAAGTGCGCATTCGGCAGCCCCGAAATCAACCGCGACAAAAAATTCGACAGTTCAAAAGTGCAAAGCTGTAAGGACCACTGACAAGGACAACATAGTGGGGATGGATGAAATCCATTTCGCACCCCCTAAGAAACCCTTGAAAAATGATTCCCCTGTCAATACCCACAAACAAGGGTTTCCCAAGGTTTCAAAGTGGTGCGAAATGGATTTTGTCCCTACACAGTAGGCCAGCCACGAATTGGCAAGCCAGCATCTGCAGCACCAAAGGGGCGGGCACTCGACCGATCCAGCTGGAAGGACAATATCACGCCAATACTTCAGCAAAAGGACAGATTCTGGCATGTGTTGCTTTCCAGGAATGAGAACCCCGGATTCATAAACCCCTGGTTGATTTGGCTGCCCACTTTAGTGGGGATTCATCATTTTTAGGGAAACACCGTTGAAACACCCTCTATTAATCCACAAAGCTTCTCAATCCGGGGCCGTCACTAGATCCCAGCCCTGTTTCCCTGAGCAAGGAGAAACCTTCTCCAAATGGAGCGGGCTACACTTGTGATGGCCTGATTGGGTCCCAGACCAAAGGAGTCAATTCTCGGGTCCTGAAGGAAGTGTCCAAGGGAAACCGCGAAGACGCGTCCACCCAAGGAAAACCCCAAGCGAACCTAGGGGAAAACAGGAAGAAAAAAAACGCAAGAATCAACGAACACTTCCCAACAAACAACAAAACTGCAGAAACCAAGGCAAACCCAAGTAGCCACCAGAAATGAAACAAATGACTAACTCAAGTGACAACACGTAACAGACAAAAAAAGAAACGCGAGTGACCAAAGAACCCCCCACTGGCCCACGCACGAGGCCCGCAGACAAGGCGCCGAGCATCTTTGCCGCAGCGAGCTTTGCGCGATGCTCTGCCTGTGCCCTGAAGTGTCTCAAATTTGTCCACGTAAAAACCCTAAACCTGCTGTGGATGGCTGCGAAATCCATTTCGCACCACCTAAGAAACCATTGGACACCATAAAGTTTGTTGGTATTTGCAGGGGAATCACAAATCCAGGGTTTCTTGGGTGGTGCAGGATTTCGTCCATCCACAGTAGGAGTTGCGTACTTTCTACTGTCCAAGCCGTGGTAGCAAAAACTAGGGGCCGTACTCTAAATGAACAGGAGGAAAAAAAGAACAAACAAAAAAAACATGCCACCAACGGTGAAGCTGTTGCGCTAGTCAACGGCAAAAAGTTCAAGATGGGTCCAAAAGACGCACACATAGGCAACCCCCCCCCACCCCCAACAAAAAGAAGAACAACAAACACAAGGACACGCCCAAGTGCGACAGCCAGCATTCAGGGCGCCTGATCCAAGCAAAGTCGGTCATATCCAACAGGCAACTCGTTTTACCTTGGGCCGATGTCCTGGGAGTTGGTGCCATTTTGTTGCCCAGGTGACACCCTCTTTCCAACCATTGTGCAATGTTCACCGCAGATTCATAAACCTATGCTATTAATACCAGGTGTGTTTCCCGCAAATCACGTGCTGAATCCCCAATGAAACATGGACACCCCTGGCGACTTCTGCTTCATCAGGGGCTAACATGAAACTGACGTCCTGAAGAGACCGCGCCTATGATTCGACAAAGTTACCTGCGTCCTAATGAACACCTGGTATTAAATCAGTACTACCCAGAAACAGGTAAAGAATTACAAAGGCGGCTGCCACTTATGGCAAGGGGATCATCCCTTGCCAACCTTGATTTACCTGGGTTTTGGGCCAGTGGTTCCAAAAAAAAACTGGACGCCGAGAGGGGCCGAAGCCCTGGTGGCCAAGAGGAATCGCAGGATCGCTTCCCGCGGTTTCTTCGTGCGTCGGCCAAAAGGAAACCAAAGCGCCAGCTTCTGCGGATTCCGGGGCTGAGAAATCTCCTTCCTGGTTGGGGGTGACTCTGTTTGAAGCGTTTTCGGAACCCACCCCCAAAAACAAAAAAGGAAGTTTTGAGAGGACCAAGATGGGCCGCTCAAACTCCCCACCGCTTGGATCAACGAACTTAGTGGGTTGTAATCAACCAGGGCTGCAACTGAGGTAACTGGCGCTAGTCCACGACACATAGATCATAACCATGATTAGCATTGGGCTACGTGGGGCTAGCCCCTGATACTCACTTCCTGGGTGGATTGGACAACACAAGTCCAAACTTTTGTTTGCCGTCAAAATGGCTTCCCAGAAAGTTTAGAGTCCAGAAACTCGGGAAGTGAGTATACTCAGGCTAAGTGGCTTAAACATCGAAGCATCTCATCACACCCCCGTCCTTTCATCGCCTTCGTCTTCCCTGGCCAGCGTGTGAGCTTCCGGCCCCCCCGATCACTTGGGGGGCTTTCTAGCCACGAGTCACGGGCGGGCACTGAAACCCCGAAAATCCGCCCAGAGAATCCCCCCCCAAGAAAGCAAAACATGGGTGGCAGATTCAATGGGTTCCAACAAACCGATCCTAGCGACACCTGGCTGTGGCTCAAAATTAACCAGGAGTTTGGTCCATGTTTCCACTTACCAGGGTTCCATTTTGGTGCTGGTTTTTTGAGCCACAGCCACCTGACCATATGACGAAAGGATATTGGATCGACTGTGAACCAGCCAACGATCAGGTGGCAACGGTAGGTGTGAGGAATGCCTCAAAGCAACCCGGAAGGAATGTAGAAAGACGCCTAGCCCCTTGAGCCATACCAATTGCGGTGCAGAGACAAGTCACATTTCTCACAGAAATCAAAGCACCCAGAAATCAAAGCACCCAGAAATCAAAGGTGATCACCTTTTGGCACCTCTACCAAAACTGGACCATGGGAAAACCGAAAGGCTCCGACAGGTCGCTTCGCTTTGGGCAGAGACTTCCTCCCATTTGGTTAAGGCCCAGGAAAACTTGTTTTTTTAAAGATGCCCAGTAGTGATGAATTCTGTTTAAGACCAACCAGGGACAACAACACAAATCGTCTTTTTTGCAAACGGAGGTTTCTAAGGTACAACGGGACACACACCACTTCGCGTCATGGCGCTCACACGATACCCGGGCACAAACGCGCCCACACCCTCCCCCCTCCGCCTCTGCACGTGTATGGCGTTCGTCCTGAGCCATGGCTTTTTTCCGGACGCCCAGAGAAGCCCAGCCCGGATTGGCCCCCAAAAAATTCGAGGAAGAGGCGCTCGGGCTCGTTAGCGCCTCTCCTTTCCGGAAACCCCCGGTTTGTGTGAACATCGCGCCTTCCTGAATGCAAACCCCCCCCCCAAGACCCCCCCAAAAAAAAACAAAAGCACATGTGTAAGGCGGCGGGGCTGATTTCGGGTGTTTTGGGGCCATTTCCCGCAGATTTTCCTGTACCCTTTGAGTGTTCCGTTCTTTTGGGGATATACGTTTTGAGGTTGCGTTAAAGAAAGCCACCTCTTTGCCGGGCTTTCCCCTTTTACAAACCCACACAGAAGGCTTCCTAAGAATTCCCGCGTCCCCACCGGAGTGAAGTTCAAGTTTGGCCCCCGCGCAATCGCGAAGTTTGGTGAGTGAAGAATTCCGGGGACTGGTAAGCTTCACACTGCTTCTGTCAAGAAGATGCTGGCGGAGAAAGCAAAAATCTCAACGTTGGAGATCGGTTTTCGGGCTTTGGGGACTTGAACTTATGTTGCAGAGATAAGTGTGGCTTCGCCATTTTAAGCGCGACATTGAACGTCAGCTGGACTCGGGGTGCAGGAAAAAGTGTCAAATGGAAGCGTGCAAAATCGAAAATGCGTGTGACAACGCAATGATAATTGGACATTGTAGTTAGGGCCTAGTTCGGGTTCAGGGCTTCCTGTTTTGTCCAGGGTGTTTAACGGTGAGGCGTCAGTGGGAAATGAAGTGCCATTTTGCGTACCGAGTGTCCTGGCCAAGTAGGCACTTCCAGGATGATGGTACGGGGTAAGCAGTAGATGTCATTTGTTTCGACACTGTGCTTGAATCCGGGATCACTCGTCCCCGCCCTGCTTGACAAAGTTTGGTCAAATAGACAAAACCTCTGGACCCCCACCCAGCCGCCAACCCGCCAACCCACCAACCCACCAACCCACCAACCCACCGACCCACCAACCCACCGACCCACCAACCCACCGACCCACCAACCCACCCGGTAATCCACAAGGTTGATAAATCCAGGGTCAGAAACTCACGGGTGATTCAGCCAGCGGGAATGGGCACTGAGTGTGAGCTTGTGAGGGTCCGATTTTTGTGGGTAGCCCAAGCGAAGAAGCCCATCCGAAAAGGCCCCCTGGATAAACAAAAACATATTTCCAGTAGTGAAATCGACTCCCTTTAACCCCAACAGGGAAACTAAAACAAATCCTCTTAAGCTCTTAAGCAAATGTGCCCTTGTGGGCACCAAGCCGGGCTCCAGGCTCCAAACACCCAATTCCCCAGTTCCCAGTTCTCCTCTCATCTGCCGAGGCAAACATGCCGCGCGCCCGGCGCCCGGCGCGGCCGGGGGCTCCCTTCTTCGAGGGGCTTCTTCCGGCCACTTTTGCTGAGGTCTTTGTGTCTGGGCGGCAAATGAGGCCAGAGGTCCAGAGGGTCAAAGGCTGGTCAGGAGATTTGCCGTGAGCTCAATGAAACTGTGCCTCCGGCCGGGCGGCCCTTTTAGCCAAAAGGAGCCGAAATGCGCGCGAGGCGGGAAAGGAAGTGCCTCGCGAAAACGAGCAGCCGGGCATCGAATCGACGGCTCCAGGACTTGGGCGGGCCAGCCTTGCCAAAAGTTGTCTGATCCCCCACTAAAGGTGAATAACTTGCGGGTTACATGGAAACTGCCAATAAGCCAACTAAAAGCAACTAAAAACTGAAGGAACCGGATGGCTGAGAGCAAGCACAATGCTCATGGCTCAGGAAAAAGATGCGAAAACGCGAATCATCATTCTGTAAAAGGGAGTCCCCCTTGGTATCACTTTGAAAGGGCCCCAAGGGTTCCCCGACCAAGCATCGGAAAATAAAAGGCTCCTCTGGTTTTATAGTGAAACCTAAAGTCCGACTCATCCCAACGAACCACGAACTCCCGGCTTTTCTGACCCCACCCTCCCGTGTTTCCACCGCGGGAAGTCGACTTCCCGCCTTTGCTCTCCGCGTCTTCGTGGGGGCCTGTCCACTCCGCCTGGAAGGACGCCAATCCCCGACCCTCCCATCCACCTCAGGGGATGGTCCAAGGCAAGTTTCCGCTGAAAGGGACGCCGTGCTGTCCAGCGATACCTCTGGGCAGTGTACACCTTGAACTTACATGGCCCCCAATGAGAAGAGCCATAAAGACTGCCTGTACAAGGTGAAATCCGCTGCTCTGGTGGGTTCCGTGAAAGTGGACAGGAGCGCATTTGCAGGTTCAAGGGTGTGGGAATTGCCAGGTACTCCTGAAGTAGGCGAAATGTATAATGCCAATCCGTGCTCCAGATCACCAACATCCCTCTGACTCTGAGCCAAACTGAAACCATGTTGACCGCTGCTTCAGGAACATGACGGGGACCCCGTCTAAAATGGGAGACACCCCTATTATGGATCGACCGGAGGGTTCCCAATCCCAGGTCGACATTTCGATTCAAAATGAAATGAAAGAAGCACTGCTGTTCCAACCTCCGTTCATGCAACCGGGCTTCCTGCATCTAAGTGACCTGCGCGTCACCGGGAAATAAATCACTGAACACGAGCTGCAACGATGATGATCAACTCGCCATGTCGCGGAAGCAAATGGTGTGCATGGGGATTCCGCGTCTTCCAGGGGAACCTCGATTAGCACCTGGCTCGATGGTCGGGATGGGAGGGCATCATCTTCAACGCCTCTAAGCAGGGATAAGCAATATTTTGCAGCAACCAGATTGAAACGGAGCTCAACGGAAGGCTGCTGGGTCACCCTCCCCCCAGTGAAAAAGGTCCAACGGTCTAACCTTCTGTAGGCTCAAAGGAAAAGAAGCTTGTTTCCAAAAGGTCTACGGGGCCCATCCAGTCACAAAGACATGTTCCAGGTGACTCCACCGACCCTTGCGCTCGCTCCCTTCCGTCACCTCAGTGGTCCTGAGCTCCACATACAGCGATTGTACCTGGCAGCGAGCATCTGCACATGTCAAAGACTACCTTTCGCCGTGGCCAAAGGACCAACGGTGGATGTTCCTTCAATGGGACGCACTCCGCGCGCGCAAAAAGAAATTGGGAAAGCAAAGTTTGGCCTTGGGATGCATAGGTCCTCCAGCAGAGAGGTCAGAATAAGTTGGTACCAGCTTTTTCCTGTGGTCTATTTTAGTAGGGGAACCGAATCTCCCCCACAAAAAGGAACGGTAAAAGAAACGGCACCGATCGCTGGGGGACCTAGAAGAGGACCCTGAGCTTGGCCTCTGACGAGCGAGCGAGCTTGGCCCCTGGAAGGGCTTCGAATTTCCGGCTGGGGGCGATGGCCGAGGGATCGAAGGGTCCTAAAACGGTTCACAGATTCAACCGCGTCCGGGCAAAGCCCCTTGCAAGGAGCCCAATCATGGGCCGGCCATGGAGAAAAAAAAAAGAAGAACAAACAAAAATATGGGAGAACATATATCAGCCGGGCTGGCCGCTTTTTCTGCTCCCCTCTTCAAAGTGAGTAGCTTGGCGAAATGGGAACTACCACTAGAGCAACTCAAACCCTAACTAGGTCCTCCAGTAGAGTAGAGAGGTTAGAATAAGGGTACCCTTTTTTCAGCAGGGGAACCCTCCCCAAAAAAAGAACCAGTAAAAGTTGGCATGTAGCTGGGGGCTAAAAACCTCAGGAGCCACAGGGCCGGGCTTGCCGCCAACCTCCAAAGGACCCATGAGCTCGTCTCAGACGCCCCCGCCCCTTTCGGCGCGCGTGATGCTGAAGGTCCGCGGCAGCCCGGGACTCCTGAAGCCGCGCCACAGATGCTTGGCCCAGGGCCCCGTTTGCCTTGTCAATGGTGGTTTCCCTTTATTTTGGTGGAAAAAGCCATATTTCAAATGGAAAAACTGTATCTTTTAAGGAGCCCTGTTTTTGGCTTGGTGTTTTGGCGGAATCGATGGAAAAACTCATCAAGTTGGTGTCCTTTCAAGATTGGGGGTCATCTTGTGGACAAATAGATGGATTCCACTGATAAAGGACTAGAAAACGGAAACCAGCCAAATTCCGCAAATTGTTCAAACAAACTGGTTCAAAGGACTGCCAGCCAAAATCAAGCAGCGAATGTGTCGGAAAAAAAAGTGTCTTAAAAGCCGGGATCCTTGCACCAACAACACAAACAGTCTACCAGAGACCTCACTGCCTCGCTTCAAAAGTTAATATATGTGGCTGCCGTATCTTCCTTTGGCGGCCACCACTTGTTGACCTTTCGGTCTGGTGGGCGCTACTGCCCCGTCCTTTGATGTTCTTTGGTCTAACGATTGATCCCATACCAATCACCCCCAGTTTATTATTATGAGGGTGTCCCCCGGATTAGTGGGGAATCAGCACTTTCGGAGGGGAACACCCCCATGTTAATGAACAGGGGTTGTTTAATATGGAGTTGAAGTTAGTCGATGGACGTTTCCTAGTGCTTTCGGCCACGGTGCGGTGGAAGCAAGAGCTGCTCTCCCCACAAAAGAATCGGCCCTTACATTTGGCCCCACGCATGTAGCTTAAAACAGGGGAACCCCGATCATGGTGGTTGTCCTTTTGATTTCCCAGTAACCACCCAAATAAGGGTAGCCATTTAAGCAGGGGTGTCCCGGTCGTCGCTGTTCGTTTGGGAAAAGCCAAGCCCAAAGCCGTCGCGCACTGCGTATGGAAAAGTGCTTTGCTTGGCCTTGCCCCTAGGAACTACGACATGTCCACATCTGACCAACCTCCAAATCCGCAAATCCGGTTGCCCCATAATTTGGAGCGCAGTTCGCTGTTCAAGTCCCTGGGTCGAGCAAGAGTGTGGTCCATCACTTCTCAGCGACAGCATTCAACAACCTCCATGTGCTTAAGCCCCCTGGAAAACACAAAGAAATTCCAGTAGTGAAATCAATTCCCTTTAAAACCAACAGGGGAAAATAAACAATATTCCTTTCAGCAAATGGAAGACAATACTCTCCCACTGGACGTGGACAACCTTCCCCCATCCCCCCCCCCCGCACCCCATCCACTGGGTGCCCCGCGCCACAGTTCACTAAATGGCAACAGCGGCAGTCCAGCCTCCTTCTTCTGTCGCGCATTCAGCGCACACTCGGCCAAGCGCATGTAGTGCCTGCTCGGTTCTCATGACTTGGCCCGGATGTAAAAACTTCCATTTGGTCAAGACCCCTGGAGAAAACCAAAAAAATGTCCAGTTGTGATAAATTCCTTTTAAGACCAACAAGGGAAAATAAAAATAGTATTCATTTCAGCAAATGGAAGCAAAGTACCTCACACCTCGCCCTCGTAAAGCACAGGCCGTGCCAGCCCTCCACCCATGATGGCGCGCCGCAATCGCAGCGATCGAATGCTTGCAGCTCCACACTGCGAACAGTGGTCAGGTGCAAAATCCCAAAAACGACCTGCCAGTGGCTGTCAAATGGGCTGAGAGATTTATTGCGCCAACCCTTGGGCAACAATTGCTTCACAGCCCGTCCCGTGGTGCGCTTTAAACGAAAAACCCCCATCGAATCAAATCTGTTTTTCACAAGGGGTTCTGGCCAAAGTCCGGCGCCAATCGAGCATGTTCAGAGGTGTTGGCTCTTGGCGCCCGCTCATCAAAATAAGCTTCAAACACCATTGTAACACCATCTCCTGATTTGTCCAAGTCATGAACTAGCTTGGTTCGCCTTTGGGCCTTTCGGGGCTTGTGGAAGGGATGGCGGTACATTTGAAATGTAGGCAGCTGACAACAAAATAACCCGTCACCTGCAGAGAACATGGATTGTTGAGCAAAACAGCCCACGTTTGTAGGCACAGTCTCCATGCACTCATGCGACAACTGGTGCTGCCATGCTGGCGCACTCTGTCACCGCGGCTGGCCCCAGGGTGGCCAGCATATTTCTGATATGATAAGGACAGTCTACTTCTTGTACGTGTCTTCCAGCTTACGGAGTGAGCAGGACTTGTAGTACCACCTTTTGCTGGTTCTGAAGTACCAGTCTTCCAAATCTTGGGTGAAAGCAATCTGCTGGAATGTCTCGTCGGAAATGTTATGCGCAACTTTGTGTTCTTGGAGATATTCGTGCATGGATTTGGGGATGCCGTTGTACTGCCACCACCCACTTCCGAAGGTGACAAAGAAGGCATCATTGTTTCCCAAAGACACCGACGCAATGCGATCGTGGTCCTCACAGACAAAGCCGCCACGCGGCACCACCAAGACCGGGACACATCGCCATTTACATTGTGATCAGGGTCGGGAAAATCTGCGTTTAAATTGGGGGGTTGATGGGACCACAAGCCCCGAAGCCTGGCAAGGGGGTGCCTGTGCTGGATGTACACCATGCTTCTCTTGGAAAACAT